ACAGCTTTGTTGTGGCGTTCGTCACTGCCGCTGACTGACCTCGCCACCGTGCCCTCCGGCCGCGCCGTGGCCGCCACGTTCGGGGACGTCAGGGTGGTGAACATGTACGCGCCGACAGGCAACGCGAGAAGAGAGCGCAACGAGTTCTTCGCGCAAGACGTTACGCCCCTCTTCGCGGGCCCGCGCAGTGCGCACGTTGGGCACGTCGTTGGGGGGGACTTCAACTGCGTGCAGGAGGACAGGGACACGACGGGCGTCGCGCACAAGAGCGCTGCCCTCGAGCAGCTCATCAAGGGCCTGGGCCTCATGAGCAGACTGCAGGCTGCCGCTCGCGGCTCGACCGGCTCTACGTCAGCAAGGCGTTGGGACCGGCACCACACGGTGTCCCACACGGTGTCCCACACGGTGTCCTTCGGAGACCACCAGGGCCTCTGGGAGTGCCGTACCTCGGGCCGTCCTACTGGAAGGCGGCTCGGCACACGTTTAACGACCCGCGGTTCAAGGAGCAGCTGAGCAGCAAGTGGCGGGAGTGGTCACAGCACAGGCGGCGCTTCGCGGACGTCGCGGACTGGTGGGAGAAGTATGCGAAACCGCGCATACAGTCATTTTGTAGGTTTTTTGCAAAACAATGTCGAGAAGAAAACAAATCGATCACAGCTTTCTACCTGCAATGTCTGACTGAACTGTATGCAAAACCACAACACAGCCCAGAAGATACTGCAGAATGCGCCAGGTTGAAAAAGATAGTGAAGGCGGCGCAGAGGGAGGACCTGCGAGGCGCGGAAGAGGCCAGCAAGTCAAGCACGCCGTGCGGGGGCGAGGAGCCGACCATGTTCACGCTCATCAACATCAAAAAGAAGAACGAGGCCCTCACCATCCAACGGCTGCAAGACAGTGACGAGGCCAACACCCAAGAGGGCATCACGACCACTACGAGGCCAACTTCACCGCCCCGCATCATCCTGGACAGCATCGCCTCCGGGCTGTCCGCGCCGCTCACCAAGGAGGAGGTGGAGGAGGCGGTCAACAAGAGAAACAAGAGTCCTGGACAGGACGGGCTCCCCGCCGAGGGACGTCGTCGGTGACACACTAGTTGAGGTGCTCAATGCCGAGCTGAGCAGGGGCCGGCTGTGCGGCAGCCAGCTCACCGGGGTCATGGTGCTCATCCCCAAGAAGCCCAAGCCCGTCAACGTCAAGGACTACAGGCCCATCACGTTGCTCAACGCGGACTACAAGATCCTGGCGCGGTGCATCGCCGCCCGCATCTCCGCCGTCACCGCCAAGGTCGTGCACCCCATGGCGGTCCAGCCCGGGGGCGCGCGCAACATCACGGCGGCGCTGTGCGACCTCCGCGACGTGGTCGCCTACCACGACCTTCTGGACGAGCCTGGCTGCCTTGTGTCTGCCGACATCGAGGGCGCTTTCAACAACGTGCGACACGATTTCCTGTTTGAAGTCATGACGCGGATGGGGTTCGGCGCGGACTTTGTCAACATCATGCGCACCATCTACACCGGCGGCAACACGCGCATGCAAGTCAACGGCTACCTGTCGAAGCCCTTCGACGTGCGGCGCTCGGTGCGGCAAGGCTGCCCCATCTCAATGGTCGCCTTCATCCTGGTCATCTCCCCGCTCATCTACGCCCTGTACGCGCGCCTCGACGGGATTCACGCGCGGGACGCCCACTTTGTTGCGACCGCGTACGCTGACGACGTCACGGTGTTGGTGCGGAGCGACGACGACGTCCCGCGGTTGCGCCAGGTCCTGCGCGAGTACAGCGACGTCTCCGGGCTGACCGTCAGTGACCAGAAGACGGTCGCCATCGCCCTCGGCACCTGGGTCCCTGCTCAACACCCCCGGACCGGCCGCGTCCTGGGCGTCACCTTCGCCAGGGACATCAAGACGATGAGCAGCAAGACGAGGCCGTCGGCATCGTGGTTCGTTCCCTGGAGCGGCCATCCGTATCTCGCCTCCATGGCCCAGTCGGTAGAGCACCCGCCCAGAGCGTCGCAGGTCGACGGTTCG